CGGGGCGGGGCCGGGGCGGAGCCCGGAGGTGGAGACAGACGGGGCGCTGTCCTGGAGAAACGCTTTATTCCAGTCAGAGCCCGTACACATCAGCGAGCGGAAGGGAGTGGGGCTGGAGCGGGCTGGCTCCGCRCAGGCTCGGTCGAGGACGCCCCCGCCAGGCACAGCCCGAGGGGTCGGGGAGCGGCTCCGTCGGTCCCGGCCGAGCCCCGCGGGCGGTCACACGTAGCCCGGCTTCACCGACAAGCGGCGGCAGTTGGGGCAGCCGCGGGTCCCGTTGGTCTGGAGGCACCTGCAACGGGAGGAGGTCGGGTCGGGGGAGTCTCCGCTGCCGGAGGCTCCCCCAAGGCCGCTCCACGGCTTTTGTACACCACAAAGCTGTTCCCGTGGGCCCTCCCGCCACAGGCAGAGCTTGGATCTCTTCCCCATTCTTTTCATGGAGGYACTTCGGCAGGTTCCTTTAATGTTTTCCGGTACTGCTGGACACAAATCCACAGAGCTCATCAGGCATCTCTCTCTGCCCAGTAGTTTGATCCTAATTCTGGTGCCAGTGTGAGACTTTGTTTTTAAATTTGTAATTTTTAGATCAGTGTGCTTTGTATTGCTCACGTTTCTTTTACAATAAAATAATGGTACGGCTAACTTCGTTCATAGCAGTAGCATGGTAACAAGCTGAACAACTTCTTTAYGTCTATGCCACTAGCCAAGACAGAAAGTGAGGGGACTCACGGAAAATGCAAACTGCCCTTGGGAGTGAAAAACTGATTCCCCGGGAGGAATCAAATAAGAATCTGTTAACTGGGCTGACCACCTACAAAGTGAGTACATCAGTGAACAATCATTTAGAGGACAGAAGTGTGAGTGTGATGGATGTCATGGCTAAATCTCACCCTCCAAGGCCATGAGACTCAGCATTGAAGTGGTATCCTGCAAGGCAGGATCAAGACAAAGGTAAGCAAAGTTAAGCAGGTAATCAAGACAAAGACCTGGGGAACAGCAGCTTAGGACTACTCTGGGCATAAGCTACTCTTTCCTATGACTAACGTAATGACATTAATATTTAGTACTTCCAGCTAATTACTTCAAGTGGAAGAAGTGGGAGCAAGGTAGTGCCTGGAGCTGGTTGTTCTTCTCCCCAATGGACTCTCCACACATGCCACAGTACAGCTCCATCTCTTCCACGCATTCGTGGAACTTCACTACATGGTCACGCAATTCTCGCTGCTGCTCCTTCGTGCGATAGATCCTTTCACACAGGCAGTGGAGTTTCAGCAGGCCAAGCTGCACATGGACAGAAACATAAGAAAAGTGAACAACAGGGTGAAGACAGATGACAAACAGGAGTGGGAACACTACAGCCCTATCAGCCAGCTGGAGAAACATCAGCAGGTCTCAGCACTTCCTGCCATTAATTCTTCCTGTCACAAAAGGCAATACCAGGTTTGAGACACTCAGCAGCTCTTTCATTGATGGTTTCCCTGAGCTACCCAWGGCATGCAATGTATTTTACTTTCCTTTACCTCCAGCCAGCACACAGTTCAGCAGCTTCTTAGGGCAAAAATGTTTTTCAAGAGACCTCTAATCCTCTAGTTCTCTGTCTGTTTCATACCCCATTTTTGCTATTTTCCTTTCCCCTTTGCCTGTCCCCTTGTGACTCCTCACTCATTTTTCAGACTTGCATACTGATGGTTATCTGTGCAACTGCCCACAGCCAAACATTTGATGACAAAGCAAATCCCAGGCCTTCACTAGTTGATAGGAATGCTAATGGGAACAAGAAGTCTGGATACTCCAGTGTTTGACTTCTTCTATTGCCTGAAGACAGACTATGAACAGTGCTGAAAAGAAGCTGTAGGATCCTACCTTGTTCCCTAGTCCCTCTGCCAGCTCCTGGGCCTTTTCAATGCTTTCCAGAGCCTGTGAATGGAGAGCACTTGTCATTAGTTCTCAGTCAAATATATAAAAAACAGGCTTGTATGAATATCCTCTGAAAATTATTAAAAGGAAGAGGTAAAGAGGTACAGAGTAAAATTTGGATAAAGAAGCATCAATGTAACTCTGGAGAATCAAGAAAGCTTTCTGGCAGATTTCTCTCCCCTCCCAAAAGTTAATGCATGAGAAAAGGTTGGTTTCTGAAAGACTACAGGTAATCCAAGAGCTGCATTTCTGTTCCAGACACACAGAGTCAGTGCTGGCAGAGGYTGGTGTTTCCAAGTAGAGAGAGTAGAGACTTACTTAAACTCAGTCACACATGCTCATTGGGGCTGGGATGGAGCACAAGCTAAGCAAGCTTTGTCCCCATGCTGCCTTGCAGGCTCCATGATTGTTGGGCAACYCTAATGGCACTTGTACAAGAGGCGAGGAAAGGGAGCAGCAGCACCAGTACACCACACTCATCCATTTTTTCCCTGCTGTTCATAGTTGCCTTACTTACACATGGTGTGATGTAGGAGTGTTCTGCTATCCATTTTTTAAATCTGAAGGAAATTTTTAGCATAGCAGCTGTCATACCAAATGAGTCCCTAGTTTCCCCTAGATGTCACAGTGTTCCTTGCTGTTCTGATAATTTGTCTCTTTTTTCCAGATCTATTGAGATCTGCTTCATATTTGTCCAAGGGGAAGAAGAGGTCTCCCTTGTGATGCAGTAGTTTTCAGGAGGAACATTATAAAACTTCTACCCTATAATTTGGCATTACTGCCATTGTAGGAGGAGAGGACCAGATGAGATACTAAAATGCACTGTGAATGCAGAGATGGCATTAGCCTGTGGTGGCAGCAACAGCCTAGGATATTAAAATGGTAGAAGAGGGAAGCAGGAACTGAAGGCCAGCAGGGAGGACGTGACTGCAAACTGTGCTTTGGAAGACTGAGTATGTACTGGAAACCCCTGAAATTAATGACTGTGACTGAGAATCAAAGTGAGGCATGTTGGGTAGGGGACAGTTTATCTTGGACTGGAATATGAGAGTGCACAAGAATGAGGGCAGGCAAACTGTAAGCAGCCTGGGAGAATCTGCAATAGCATTGACTACATGCAAATCAAATGGATTAACTGGCCAAAGAGACTGAGAAGATGGAAGACACTAGGACAAAACCAGAGAAGCTGCAAGTGGAAAATTCACAAATTGCTTTATTAGGTAGCTGATGTAGACATGAGTAGCATGAGAAATGGAAAGTGGGACTGGCAAGTTGAAGAACAGGCTTGAGTGAGTATTCAGGGCTGTGACACCCAAGGAGGTCACATTTGCTCCATAGATAAGATCCCTGACCCAGTAGAGCAGACTTCCCTCTAATGCCTGGAACAGAATACAAGATTCCTCCATTTTCTTCTGTGGGTTTTGGCAAGATTAGGATTCTGTGCAAAGCCTTCACCATGTTCTCACAAATGAGAGCTGCTTGTGATATCAGAGGGTGGCAGTGGCTGGAGACAGAATCAGTGAATGTAAGGGTTTGATGAGTGCTCTGAATGCTCTCTCCTGCAGAGGCCTACCTGCTGTGTCCTGTCCCATTCTTTTGACACTGAGCAAACTTTTCAAGCCCACAATTTCTTCTTCCCTTGCTAGCAAACATAGTATTTACTTACTGAGATAGCACGGTGAGTCTCACCCAACTGATTCTCTGGTGGAGGTACTCAGATGCTGACAGCACTCTGAACTTGTTTACTCTGACAGACATAGACTGGACATGTTGATATCTGGGATGCTTCATTTGAGCACAAATAAATTCCTGTTTTTATTTCTCTGTTTCACATCGTTTATAGACCTTCAAAGTTTCTCCAGGAATTTTATGCCACATTTGCCTGCAAAGCACGTGGTGGAGCTGTAGAGCTGTCTAAACATCATTAGCATAGTGATGCTTAGTGAGCTTAGTCATGTAATTAAAAAGTAGGCAGGGGAATCTATTTCAGAACATAAGGTTTCCTTCCTCCAGTGCTGGTTTCTCAGTGTAGAGCTTAAAAGTCATCAGGATTGACTAATGAGACAATTCTGTAATTTAGCAGTCTGACTCAGAATAGATGCTCCTACTATTAGTAACAAATTCCCGGCTGAGAGAGACGGTTCAGAGAAATTTGACTGTACAAGCAACAGATCTTGTTGGTAGAACCAAGGGGGTACAGGTGTCTTCTGAACTGTACCCTCATCAAAGTGCAGTACAAGACTGTGCTCTAATCTTGTCTAACAAAGTTCTGTAGAAACAAGTTTGTAACTGACCTTGTCCAGCTCCTTCTGAATCATCCAGCACTTAGTCACTCCTAGCAGCACTTGGATCAGGCCCAGACGGTTTCCAATCTCTGTCATGATGCTCATGGAAGAGTCATACCGAGGAAAGGCTGTCTGCAGAAGCAGGGAGGAAAACAATTTTGAAATGCTTTTCATGACCTCTTGCTATTCCCTCCATCTTTCCAGGAAAGAGCTGTACCTGCACGTCTCTGCGACTGCGATGGATATCTGCAAAGCAGAGCAGACACAGTGCTTGCAGCGGCCGGTCACCATGCTGCAGGGCAATCTTCATGGACTCCTGAAAGAAATTGCCTCTAGTCAGTAGAAGAGCTTGTTCCTGGTTCAGAGCAGCAAGGCTGGGACTCTGTGCTCTGGCCACTGAAAGATCAGCTCCAAAGAAATGGCACCACCTTTTAAGGCAGGCGAAGTCTTTTTCACATGTTCCTAACCAAGGGCCATTCATAGACCCAAATTTTGAGGCTCCCTGGGCTACAGATACCACAGCTCTAAGACTGGAAGGCAGCAAGATGTAGAGTCAAGTGTGAATGCCTTGGTGTGTCTCTTGCTGTCAGTCCTGTGCAAGGTCCCCTGCAGAGCCCCCCACTCCGTGACCCTGTACCTCACAGCAGTCCATGGCATCCGCCAGGCGCCCCAGCTTGCGATAGGCCACGGCCATGTGGTACTGGCTCATGGCACGGTACTTCAGGCTCCAGCCCTTCCCGTAATCATTCACCAGCTCAGCGGCTTTACATGGGAAGAACAAGGCTTTCTCGTAGTCCTATGAGGCGACAAGCACACAGATAGCAGTCACAGTAAAAATAAAGCAAAAAGGAAAGAAAAAAGCTCGACTATTTTTTCTTTACTAACACTGCAACAGCTACCAGATTTCTGTATGTCTTTAGTCTCGTGCTGCTCTTCTTCCACATGCTGTATTTTGGTGGATAGCAAATTGTGAAAGGTGGGATTGCCATATGCTGAATTCATATTATTCTCTGGGTTCAGGACACTAGGGCAATGACCCAGCAAATGAATTTTATGTAGTATGCCATTAACTTCATTCTGCAGGAACCATTTACCCTCCTATATAATCAAAGGCTGAAAACTTTCTGTGTTCTTAAATCATCTCTGCTTACAACATCTACATGGAGCCTTCATTTTCTCCATAAGGAGAACTGGGATCTCCAGGAAGCTCATTATCCATCATAGCAGAAAATAGGAAATAAGAATCATGGCCTCATCAAATTCACACTAAGTAATAATACATTTTCATTTCAAAGCATCTTTTTTTTACATTAATGTTAGATATTAGTCTTATTTTACAACAATTATGTAAAACTTATCTAAATATCTAAATCCATTCTCAAGTAAGTTATATGGGACTGTAGAAGTGAAAAAGTCCTCATAATTTTTTAATTCTCCACAATGCACAAAGGAGAATTTCCACAATGTACAACTTCTTATATTTCCTTTCTCCCTTCTTATTTCACACCAGAAAAATATCCAGCACAGTGCTATTTTCTTTATTTTTGGTAATTTACCAAAAGGGAAATTTACTGATAGACTCACCACACTGCAGCTGGTGAGTCTTCCAGTAGTGACAAAATAAAGACTGTGTGAAAAATGTATTTGTTGCTGTTCGTACTAGAAGTTAGAACTGGCAAATCACCCCCGTGCTCAGTCCCTGCCTGGTTTTACCTACAGCTGCTTCCTGGCAGCTCTTWGCCTACAATAGTGGTACAAATAGAGAATCCATGAGTTTTGGCTGCCAGCCCTGTGTCTCTGATGGGATCTTCTTTGAAGCTAAGTTTGATCTTTTCAACACACGTATTCACAGCTGCTTCTGCTGTGCTGTATAAACATGATACTAATCCTCCCATCCTTACTGTGGAGAAGAGTACTCCATYCGGATTTTACAAAGGGATTTTAGCTTACAAGGCTCTCTCGATTCTTCACTTCCTAAAGGAAAGACACAGGCTGAAATTCATGCGATTTCCAATGCTCTCCTGAATCCGTGGGACAATCACCCTTCTGTCCCTTAGGTTACTGTACCTTTATCTGGGTGTAGAAGTTCCCAAGGCTGCAGCAGACTCGACATTCCAGCATCTTGTCATCGTTGTTGTGTGCGTAGCGTAAAGCTTTCTCAAAGCACTCCAAAGCCTTCTGGAAAATGCTGAGGCCCAAGAAGGCATTGCCCATGCTGAGGCTCACCTGGCCATTCAGCTGCAGRCTCACAGTGGTACCCTGCATGTTCAGGCACGTTTTACAGTACGAGATTGCTTTCTGGAATTCACAGAGTTTCTCATTGCTGCGAGCCAGGTTTAGGTAGCTCTCTGTAAGGTAATCCGGGTCTTCCAGCTCCCGTGCTGTGTCAATCTGTACCACTGCAAACTTTGAGTAAAGACAGTGTTTACACAACCTTGTAGATTATTTAAATACAGCTCAAGCACCCACAGAGTAGCACCTGGTACTGGAGAAGAGGCTAATCTCTGGGCAGGGCAGACAAGGCCATCAGCACATAAAGGAGCATCATATGCATTGAGCAATTATCTGGTGGCTTAAAAGGCTTGTGAACATGCTGAAGAAACCTCTCCCTCTCTCCACACAGTCTCTGGGCAGGGAAGATGAACTAGGCTGGCAGTTACGGTAAAAAGCTGTTAAATATCCCTAAAGAGAAGCTGGTGAAGCAGGAAAGATATGACCCAATGCAGTTCAGTTTTCTTGCACTCAGTTTAAAGTATCCCACTTTCTCTGGAATTCCTAAGCTCTTAAAAATATTAATAAAAAAGTAAGCTACTTCTTAAATTATTTTTATGAATAAATTACAGTCTTGATCTTGACACTTTTAGTTCTATAACCTTCAGGATTTGTTGCATACTGTTCTCTTAAATGAAGTATATTTCTTTCAGGGTGTAAACTTGTCTAAGCAGTAACTCTTCTGCTTTGTGATAAACCAAGCATGCTGCTATCTTGAATTTGTACCAGTAGCAAAGGTAAATAGCAATTTTTATTAGATTATCAGTTGGGATTATGGATGGGAAATCCCAAGGGAATCACTTTTTGTACAGTGGCTACATGTAATAATTTATGCTACTAGAACATCCTACATTCTTTGGAAACAAAAAAAAAAAAACCAAACAAAACCCCCAAACCACAATAACCATAAATTGTGTATGTTGGGTTTGTATTATCTTCTCAGCTTCCTTAAGTTTAGGAAAGCTGCTATTGTGGACTCAGTGATGTGCACTAGCTCATGCTTCCCCACATTACCTTAACTTTGCACAAGTTCTTCATTATTTCCTGATTGCCACAGCCTCTTTTCTTGGTGAAAAGTAATTTGTCCTCTCCAAAAGAGGTTGAGCATGACAACCTTTCTTAAATCACTTTTTATTTCATGCCTTTTATTCTGACCCCTTTTCTCCAGTTATTTCCTCTCTCAATGGCTTATTGCTAAAGTGCTCCTTTCTCTTTGATCACTCGCTATATAAAATCTTTAGTTTGACTGAAGCCATTTTTCCTTCCTAATACCGTGAAGAACTAAAATTCACCCACTCTAATCCCAATTTCTGTTCTCAGGTAACAAATTAATTTTCAGGTATATTATGCTCACTCCTTTGCCTGTTTTCTTTCTTCCCATGAAGTCATCAGTATTTCCTTCAGGTAGCTACATCTTACCTTTTCTTCTTTCTTCTCCAATCAGTCTGTTGTTTTTGCCACCACTTAGTTTCACACCACTTAACAGAATTGTCTTCAAATGTTTTCCAAGTGTATTAATACCTCCTCTTTGTTCTTCATCCTAAGTATTTGGTTTCAATATAGGGCTTTGACATGTGCATGGGTTTACCCGTAAGATGTACCCCTCTTCCCGCTACAATTCCCAAACAGAGCTACCAAGAACTTTTCAATGAGATGTAGACACCCCCTTCACATTTTGTTCTAAATGTGAATGATAACCAGTGTAGTAAGAGGCAACCAAAAAYGTCAGGACAAGAATATCAAAGGCCTTTAGTAAGACCTATTTCAGACTTGGATACTTTCTTAACATTTCTTATTACAACATCCTCTTGCCTTGTCTTAGATTCCTGAATCACCCTACCAATTGCTGCCTGCTGTTCTCTGCATACATTGTTACTTCTCAGATCTACACACCAGCTTCTTTTTGTTCATGTAATTGAACTGTTTATCTTCATGTGCTTGAAATGTAACTTCAGCTGCTTTTTACCACTCTTCCATCAAGCCCCATATCCATTCTTCTTTCTTCTATGCTGTCCTGACAACTGGGAGCTGCTCTCTGGCCTCAACTATGAGACATCTCTAGGATGTCTCAACTACCTCACCAGAACAGCATCCTCTTTTCCCTCTTAATCATCCCCCTTGCAAACAAATAATTGCAATTAAAAAACACTAATGTAAGATCTATATGAGATATCAGCCGGAAGCTGAACAAGATAACAGATGTGCGTCCACAAGATTGATACTTATTCCACAGAATCCACCTGGAGTTCTCATTGTATGCTGACATACACCCTGTAAACAGCTTGCAGTGGACAAAGGCCCTGATGTCATACCTTTTCCTGAATCCTGATAACATGGTGTGCCTGTATGTGGGAAATAATCAATAAAAGTTCTCATGATTATCTGGAGAACTTAAATAACCCAGGAATCCTGAGGAACCAGACCCAGTGAAAAATCATATTCTGTATGTCTTGTGGGCTGGAGCTGTTGGTCAGCCCAGAACAAGCACTCAGTAGCTGGTATTTTCTGTTATACACAAAGTACCCCCCTCCCCCACCCTTTCAGGTTCTGATCTCCAGCCACGTTCCACCGTGGCTGCGACACAATGGCATGCAATCATCTCCAGTTCACCTTACCTTCAGCATGTCTTTGTATCTGCCCATCTCTGCATGAGCAGTGATGAGGCAACCCAAAACCCGAAACCTGCCAGCAGGATCCGCAGACTTCTCCAAAACCCTCATCCAGACTCGCAGGGCCTTTTCGGTCTGGTTAGACTGGTAAAGATGGAGTCCTTTCTCTATCTGTTGCTTTGTCTGGTCCTGACCCATCTCCCATGGATTAAAAAGCCTCATACACTAAAACCTCTAAGGAGAGCAAAAATGACGTGCTTACGAGAGAACACAACATAAAATACCCTACTAGAAGAGGGCGGGTTGTGTGCTCAGACGGCCCAGAGCTGTAAACGCCCAGCCATGCCAGGGGGCTGGAGCTGTGGTAGGCAATGGTGAGAAGTGGTTGCTCAGCACTGAAGGCAGAATCCCAATTCCGCTACACAAACATCTTGCTTGCTAGTGCTCCATCAGTGCATTCGTCTGTCCAATCCCGTAAACAAAGAGGAAAAKCACAACAGGGAGAGAAAGAGAAAAATCTCAAGCCACAGGAGTGAAACTCAATCCAAGCAGCCAGTGCTRGTCTCTTCCCCATTGGCTGCAGCTGCTCCTGCCAGTCCAGCTCACATGGCTCCCAGGAATTCTAGTCAGGCTTCCCAGCTCCCAAGGTCACGGTGCCAACTGCCCACCCCTGCCCGCCAGTATGCAGCTTATAAATACCCCAGGGAGAGACAATCGGCTGCACTCACAGCCTCAGGATGCCTCGGCTCTCTTTCCTCTCTCTCTCTCTGGCCATTTCCTTTGACAAGCACTGCTGGTAGTGGGCTGGCTTGAGAAGGAGCAGATTCAGGTGGAATAGTAGCTTTAGGAAAAATACGTCTTAAGAAGTTGAGGTGTGAACAAGGCAACTTCTGCACCTACACATGTGCAGTGTTACACTTGCAACCATGTCCTTGACACTTTGCTAGGCACAAAATTCAACCTCCCTTTTGTGGACCTCAGCTGGCATCATGAACTGTTTTTGTGGACATAGGTCAGCTCTGTCACAGATTTGCTGCAAACATACTGCCAACTTCCTGATTCTAGGGACAAGAAGCTAACCATCCTGAAACCGTTTGTTCTTGACTGAATGTTGCTCCCTGCCATCAGTTGCCTGTGGAAGTCCTCCAAAAGCCCCCAACAGAAGTTATCAAAGGCATTGCTTAAGTTCCGCATCCAGAACCTGCTGATCTTTTATAAAGAATGACAATAAAGACACAGAACAACAGATTTCTGCACTTTTTGGTTGCATGAGAGAGGTGTTAGGCCCATTAACATAGCTTTATCTCTCCCACACTGTTGAAAAAGTTGTACTGGTTCCTTTAGGAGTCAAGTTCCATACTCTCACCAGTGTGCTGCATTTTTAATTCCTGCAGCCTTGGTTGTCTAGAGATTGGTTCTGTCCTTCCTAAGAAGATACACCAAACATGAGGGGAGGGGGGCAGGTGGAGAATGCTACAGGATATCTAATGTTTTTCAGATGCAGAAGTTCTAAGAACCAGTTTTATGATCCTTTTACTGGGTAAAGAGMAGCAATTGCAATTTGAAGTTTTAACAGACCCACCTGCAAAAGCAGGCATGTCTCCAGCTGGCTCCATGCTTCTAGGGGAATTTGGTGGCAGTTCTTCCGCAAGCAAAAGTAAATACCTACAGGATCACCTCAAAGAGCACCAATCAGAACATCCTGGTCTGTGTCAACAAAACCCCAAGGGAGCCTTCCTGAGGTAATATTCCTAAGAAAAGCAGAAAAAAAAAGGAACAGCTTTCTGCTCAGAGGCTTGACATCACAACAGCCATGACCTGAAGAGATTGCATCTGTACCTTTATCCAAAATTCCCTCAGAAAAATATTTTAAAAACATTTTAAATTATAGAAGCGTTTTGTTACCGTAAGACTGATTCTCCTTTGGGAGCTATTTTACACCATGATATTTGCATTATTTAATTTAGCTTTGTTTTTCAGAGATGTAATGTGCTAGATGATGTTTCAGCATAGACTATGTGTACTCTCACTCTCTGGAAGCAGAAATTATAAATTTTAGAACTTCCATAAACGTCTTTCTCCTCCATGGAAACAAGATGCAGCAGATCAATCCCCATATGAAAAGAGTGGAATATGGCTGGTAAAGTCAGGAAGACTGGAGTCAGAACAAATAGTGAAAGGAGGAGGTAGGTGTGAGAGGAAAAAAGGTTTCTCCTAAAACATTCAGTATCAGGATTTCATCTACAACTTTGTGTATTTCCTATTGATGCTAATAAATATAACAACTCATGCAAAAATGCTGATTATTTTCAGAGATTAATACACTGGCTCTTTGGTGTAGTTTGAGTGTGTATTGATTGGTGGTGACCTTTTAAATTAAAGTAAAAGCTTTCAAAGAATAAAAAAGTCGCCTACTCAAGAGGGATCTGATGTCAGTTCTGTAAGATGTAGCTGAYAAAGCTCTGATTGTGTAAGACAAGGCAAGTGAATTTTTGCAGAAGCTGGTATCTTCCCTTCTGCCTAAACAAACCCTTTTTCTGATTCAATTGTTTCTCTCCATCCTTAGCCTCAAGTCATATCTGAACTGAAATCCCTCCAGCCTCTCTCCTCAACAGCTGCAAATTAACTGCAGGGATCCCAGCACAGTCTGTAACAGGTGGCTCAGTGCCTTGCCCCACAATTGGTGCRCTCAGGGCAAGGAATGCAGCACTGAATCCTGATGCTTACAAGTGCTCTCAGATTTACAATCATGTAGGAAGTGATGGGGTGAAAAAGAGTATGCCAGATAACACAAGAAAAGGACATGGAGGAGAAACATAACTGTTCTAAAAATGCTTGCAGTCTCCAAGATGCAAGACTGCAGAAGGAAGGATTAACATTACAGAATTTTAGGAGCTTTCAGAAATGCGGCAAAATCATTGCCATTGTGATGCTTTCCTTCTGAAAGAGGCGATATTAATGTCAAACTTGTGGCCCGTTTCTAAATGAATTATGCTTTGGCTTTGCCAAATACTTTTTATTAATCTTAAATAAAATGAGCTGTAAAGAGATCTTTATTCTAAGAGTGAAGCAGGTAGGCTTTGCTTATCACCAGAAAGTAATCCAAATCCATTTGGGGTTTTCCTGTATAGTACTGCCAGGACCAGGAGCACTGGGGCTGCAGATAGCTTGATGCTTGGCTGTAAGCTTGGCTGTGGTCCTGGAGGGGGAAGGAAGTGGTGGCAAGTGGGGGGCTTGTGAGAGCAGTGTCAGCTGGTGCCTCTCCAGTCGCACACAGCACCACGCACTCGTGCTGCTCCTGCACAGATGAGGGCTGCTGCTATGGCCAAGGTATTGAACCCCTGAAACATCACAAAGCACAAGTGCATGGACAAGTAACTGGCCACATGGCACCAGTTCTGTGAGGCTGCATATCCCTACAGCTCACTCCCAAGTGTGGCACATATTTGCATTATCCAAGATCCTCAGCTTTTCCGTATCTAACGGAATTGACTGTCTAACGGAGCCTTGACTGTCAAATGGTACAAAATGGAGGTGTATCACCCAGAAAACCTCTTCTGTTTCTACTCAAAGTAGCTCACCTACACAGAAGTAAAAATACAGGGCTATATTGTACCTCCAGAATAAGTGATATTGGGCCATGAAAATTTTTGCGGCTCACAGCTAAGAAACTGGAAAATAGTTCTCTCATCTCTCTTCATCTTCTCACACTTGGACTCAAAAAGATCCTCAAGTTTAAGACACAAATACAACACACAAAGACTCTTCTCAAACAGTTTAATAGCAAATAAACAAAGGAAGGTACCACACTTGGCATATACAAAATGACTTGTTGTCGGTGTGTCTGTGCAATTAAAACAGCTTTAAGTTGCCCTTTGGGACAAAAAGAAAAAAAACACACACACAAAAGGAAGAAAATTCCTTTAACACATATTCGCTTGTTCCAAACTTGTAACAAATCTTTTCATTTTTAAATCCACTACACAAACTCTGTGATCAGATCAGAAAAGCAAYACGCGCTCCTCTGCTTTTTAAACCATTAAAGTAAAATCTGTAATTCTCTACAGAGTACAACACAATTTCACACAAAAAGACATTTTGTTTTGCAAATCAAAACAAGAAAAAAAGGAACAGCTCAAACAAGGTAAAGAAAAGCATTTCTACGACTGAACCACGACTTCGAGTTGATTAAATCCCGTTAACTGCAGAACAGACTCTACATTTGGTCATAGTGGCAATTTGTTTTCTTGTCACATTGTGAATCACTTTACATTGTTTTCTAGTAGAAAAGGCAAAAAACTGTACAAAACCCCTAGTGTTAAATACAATGTTTGTACCAATAAAAAAGCCCACAGGTTTGTCTCCAAAATGTAAATTTTCTTTTTAAATTATTCACAAAAAGCAGCCAAAAATCAGAAAGGCAGCTGCTGCTCCACTGTCTCAAATCCATTAAAACCACCACAGAACAATTAAAACAACCAAAGGAAGAAAAGGAAAAAAGAAAGGAAAGAAACATCCAACATTTGGCATTTTGGTTTTCTTCAGATATATTTCCACAGGTTTCCCCAAAGTTCCTTATGGAACCAAATGCACATGTACAGAAATGTACTGGCAGTTCCTCCATACACTGCAGGGTATCAGTGCCCCCTGGCACACAGCCCTGTGCATTCAGACTGTGGGACTAACAGCAGCCAGCCCCCAACCCTACTTCCCAAATAAACCAGTCTCTACCCTTTTTTCATTCAGCCTCACGATTCACTCCCAGGTACATGTACCATATTCAAATTGTTCTGTTTTGTAAGCAGATTAAGGACTGTTTACACAAGTCTAGTCAATACCTATTGAGAATGCAGTATCCTCAACCGACTCAGGAGTAGGACAGAAAACAATCTTAGCATCTTTACATTATCCCAAACATTGGACAAAATTAAGACTTCTATCCATTCAAACTCATTTTCTCAGCAAAACCCTTCTCCTGGAATTCCATTTCACATTATTTCAACTCTTAAGATACCTACACTAGCTTGCTGCTGCTTCTGACTGAAACTTCATCACAGCACACACTCTTCAGGTGTCTTCATCTAGAAGCTACTTCCCAGTTTCTACTTGTGCAGATGGTCCATAGSGAGGGGAAGCCTGCTACCCAGAGAGCAGTAACCTGTTCTAATTCATCCTGCAAGCCAGAAAAACTGCTCAGCTCATTACCCAATTAAAAATTAAACAAAAACTAAAAAATCTCCGCAGAGATTCCCCAGCTAAGGCCCTTGAAAAGAGAGCTGGGGATGGTACCCTGTTCAGGTAACAGCTTCAGAGGCTGTTGTATTGTGCTTGTCATTTGGGAAAAGAGCCAGCAGTTGTAGGATCAGTGTTACAAATGCTTTCTCTGGGATATTTAAAACACTTTATTTCATGAGCTAACCTAGACCCTTCCAAAATCCTGCCACCAGACTCTGACTGATAATATTAAATTGAGGCTGGACTTCACAGAAATGTGCCCTGACTTGTACAAAATGCTCAGTGTTTCAAATGAGCCCTAGCTTCAGATAGCTTGGAAAAAGAAATACTGTGAGTTCCCCCACCTTCCTGCTCCCAGCTATCCCCTTCCACCAAAATTTCCACTACAGGAACAGTGTAACCAAGCACCTTTAAAGCCTCTGACAGCACTGGAGATGGAACATGATCCAGGTGCTCTGTCAGGCAGACAGTCTAAGTGCACAGGTAGATGCCCTCAGGTGGCYTCTGATCAGATTTGTCATACCAAAACCACCAATTTAAAGGATACCTTTGAAACCCATTAAATTGCTCAGTTTTTGCACAAACTATAGAAAACAGAGAGGTGAAGGTGATATATACGAGGGTGTGAAGAAAACAGCAGGAAACATGCACAACATTTCTGGGCACTATCTTAGTTTGAAAGATTAAAACAAAAACATCACATTTTGCTGAGGAGATTGTAGTTACAAAAAAAACCAAGCATGCTGGAGCTTAACAAAATACAACATCAACTTTGATCAAATTTTCACTGCAGACTGATAATCACACAGAGAAGCAGGGAAAAAAATAAAAATAATAATAATTAAAAAAAAAAATCAGTAAATGCCAGGGCAAAAATGTAGCTACAATCAGAGGAAAACGTAGTTCAAGTGTTTTCTGTTGATGCCACTTCAAGTCACAAGTTTGAACTCATAAAAACACATGCTGTCTCCTCAAGCACAGAAACCAGATCAGCAAAATGTGACCAGGAAGTCTCCTGAAAGATTGAGTCACACCATATAATTGACTTTTTCTTCGAACTGTGTTTTTAAAACTAAGCACACAGAAAAAACTAAGCCTAGAAAGTGATTGGCTGTATGTTCACAGAAGTACAAATACTCCACAAGGTATGCTAGCAAGGCTGCTCTGAAGACAATTACAAAGAATCAGATTCACAAAATCAAGTGGTTATCTTATGAAGGTCTAGAAAAATAGAAATTCTTTTATATTCAAATGCAAGTTTAAATATTCCCCTTCAGCAGTCTTTCTAGCAAAACCAATTTGGCAGCAAAAAAAAAAAAAAAAAAAAAAAAAAAAAAAAAAAAAAAAAAAAAAGAAAGAAACAAACATAATAAAAATACACATCAGCATCAAAGGTCAACACAAGGTCAAAGGTGAGAGTTCAAGCATCAGAGAAGCTGAAGAGACAAGGATTTGGACGATGTACTTGAACGCCACATCGACATGCTTTAGGCACAACGATGAACAAACGGCAGGAATCTAGAAAAAAAAACAAACCAGAAAGAGGGAGACCCACTGAGTTACACAGAGCAGTACATCCAAACACGGAGAGAGAGAACAAGAATGGGCACTGTACAATGAGATCTCCTGGGGAAGGGAGTTGACAGGGGAGGGCAGCACATGCCAACGATGGACAAGTAAAAGTCAAAGTACATGAAGGACACCAAGTAAACATCAAACTGCCAGAAACCAAATGGAAGCAGAGGCCAGGATTTCCCTCTCAGCACCCAGTCTGCGGAGCGTTCCACAGCCTTGTGACACACTGGTTAACATGCATTCACCTTGCCCCATGCCCAGTGCATCCACTACCTCTGTTGAGAACAGAGTAAGCTCTCTCCCCAGGAGACCAATTCCAAAAAATGTGACTCCAGGGCAAACATTTGCCCACAGAGACTGAGACTACAAGAGACAAGACAGAGGACACAAGGGATTCATTCACAAGGTGGTTTGACGGTTGAGACTTTTCTCGCACTCTAACACGGGAAGTTCTTACGCAGTAGTAGCCCAGCAAATCCATATTCTTTCCTTTAGCTACAGTCCCTTCTCATTCCCTAGRAGCCCATGTAACTGGGGGTGGGTGATTTGGAAAAGGGGGGAAAAAAAGGATTACACAAAACAAAAAGCCCACACACCAGAGAAGAAATCCTTAAGACTTGACTACAAGTTAAGACTTGTCCTAGCTGAGCACTTTTCATACCATTAGACCTGCACAGGGATTTTCCACTCCCAACCTTTTACATAACAGCCCTCAGTTCCCTGACTTYGTGAGGAGGAGATTCTGGGCTCTGAGAAGCTCTACAGTCACTGTTGCCAGTTTGATGAGCAGAAAAAAATGTATTTCCTGAAATTTTCTTGAAGATTTTTTTTAAAAAATACTTCTTATATTAACTTATATAAAGTGACATAAATACCTCTGTTTTYTCCCCTCAGCTCGTGAGCTGCAAGGAACATTTTGGGATGAGAGTGGGAGGCAGAGGGGAGAGGAAGCAGTTTGTTTTCTTATTCTGTCTCCCTGCACCTCCAACTCCTCTTTTTAGCTCCTGTTTGTGTCCTTAATCTTTAGCACATCTCAAAGCTTCTGGTTAGAGACTAGAACRAGGTGAGATTTGCATATTATCTTACATAATTTAAGAATATCAAGTGTTGCATTCTAGTTCCAAAGCAACAAGAAACAATTTGTCTACTAAACCAGCAACACTCCTCTTATTAGAACTGCTGAGATTAATTTGTTTTTCATGCTTCCCAGTAAAGGGAAAGGACTTTACTATGGAGTTTAAACCAACTCCTGCCATCAGAGTACAATGCAACACTTGCAGTTTTTTCTATATTTCTAGAAATATTCTACATAATTTGCAGATAGGTGCAACTTTTCACTCCTAAACCAGAAAGCAAATTCATCATGAACTGAGRCATGAGAAACAAGAAACATGAAATCAAGTGACATCTAAGCATGCACCATTGAAATCTTGTGTGATTTATCAGGGGATTTTCTTGATAGGGATTTTTCAAATAGGTCACTCAGCTATGTTGCGGGGAAACATTAAGTTTCATCAAAACCCTATGGRAAGACCTGCCTATAAGAACAGAACAATGACTTAGAAACTTATCCCAGTTTGTCCTTGTTTTATTCTCACAACAATGATAATTCTGTGTTTTAAATTTTGTGGCAGGTATGCTAAGGGATATCAATCACCCTTAGGTTTCAATGTCTGCAATAAGAAGCTTTCAAAGCATTTTACCTCTTCACAGTTGCACCCTTCATTTGCAATTTGTTTTATCCAAGTTGTTTTTAGGTATTTCCAAATAAAACAGGAACAATTTCATTCTGCTTGCCCTAACCCACAGCCATTACCAGTTCAGTTAGCTGCATGATGCAATTATTGTAATGTGCGACTTTCAATATTCAGGTGAAAAGCTTTTTCCTGATAGATGCATTTGACAGTCAGAATTTTTCTCAGCTGGAATTTTTAAATAGTGCCAGTTTTGTATTAAAAAAAGCTAAAATAYGAAGAACTATCTTATTTTGGACTGTTGATTATCTAGGGGACTGAAGGAATTATGATTTCATTTACTACAGAACTGACAATAAACAGTATGAGACTAAGTTCATAATTATTTCATCTTGTTGCAGCAGTAAAATCAAATATCTCCTGAGAAAAAAGTATCTATAAAGTAGATAATTTCCACCTTGCAAATTAAAAATATGTTAAGTATTTCCCGGTGGCATATGTAATAAGGAATTCTATTTCATCAGAAGTCCTTCTAGCTTCTATTGTAGAAAATCGGGTTCTTTGGTTTTAAGCATACAGCACACTTTGTCCTTATGGCTACTTCAGGCAACCTTCTGCAGTTTATTTGAACTCACCCAACTCTTATCTTACTATCCAGGAAATAAAGCATTTGATCTGCACTTGAATGAGAGCATCATATGAACTAAAAATAAAATTTAAAAGYCCCAAGTCCCCCAAAATCCCAGATTTTCCTGCCAACGAGTGAGGAAGAAAACTGGCTTAAGACTGAAAGGCAAGAGCAGCCTAAATCCCCACAATCAAGTGGCAGCCATCAAACAGACACAAAAAATGTTGACTTTTTCTGATCAGTTTTGTTATCAGAAAAAAAATCTGCCCAAGTCACAAACTTGATACATTTATTAACTTTGGCAACATACACACTGATACACCAAGAAAGGGAAATCTGAAACAAATACACAAAAAGGGCAACATCTTCAGCTGGTGAAAACTGATGCAGCTCTACYGCATTCAGAGAGCTGAACTACATTGATTCAAACCATCTGAGGATCACATCTTTTAAAATGTAACCTGCATAGATTTATTTGCTTTTTGGCAATACTTATAGTTACGCCGTAAGGCACAAGAGCTAGCCCAAGTTAGGTGTCTTAAGGTGATTATGTCTGGGAGGAGTCACTGATCAAACTAAGCCACAGTGTAAACTGGTGAATCTCCTAAAGTTAATAGGAGTCACACCTATTTGCAACAATGCCAAGTTTGATCTCTAATTTACAGTATTGAGGACACACTGTAAGATGAAGAAGCTTAAATATCTAATTTTGGGCAACTGAAATGACTAGTAAAGAGGCCAGAGMATCAGGTTAAAAGAAAAACAGGACAAAGGTCTTGGATAGTACAGTGGGGTAAGGTGTAAAGAAGGTAAGAGTGACTGTAGAGACCCCAGAGCACAGTGCTGTCCTCCACTGGTTCACAGCATTCATCTTCCTCGTTAAGCAGTTGTTGGGCTGCAAACAGGCCACTGAAAATCAGTAGTTTCAATCGTGCACATCATTATGTGTGTAAAACAATCACATTCAGGATTCTACAAAACCCTGGCCTTTTTTTCCAGTGAAATAATTTAGGTAATAAATATTCTCCACCCTGGAGCGGTATAAAACTTCTATAAAAATAGAAACAACATTCTTGGTTACAGCAGGTTGCACTTGGAGCAGTTGCTCCCAACTATGTTTTTTTATGTTTTTTTTCTTTTTTTTTTTGAAAAGTATATAATTTATATATATATAAAAAAATCCCATTAWCACCCTGGAGGCCTTCACACTCCAACACTCTTTTCTCAGAAAACCAGGACACATCTTTCCTATGGTGCAGAATTCAAGTGTACATGGTTCACTTCAGTGTATGTTTACGTTTCTAGAGAGATTCAAATAATTAACACAGAAGGGTACCACATGCCAGCATAACTGGGAAATTTGGCAATCTGGCCTTTGAAACTTTGCCACCATAAAATTATTTAAATAATACTGACAGATTTACCTGCCTGCCATCAATATGGGACAGACTGACATAAACTGTTTAATCAAAAATTGATAAGGGCTCCCCTTGGATGTCACATATCAGGCCTTGTAATTCTGAGGTTTGAGATCCCAGGGGGCCCAGTCCCTGGAAATGCCCAACATTCCCAACAGATCACCACACACAAGTGGGGATTCCGACCGAGATCTCAGGTTTGATGGGTTTAGTGCTCCTCCTGCTGGAGCAGAACACAAAGTCCTGACCCCACATCTGACCCATACACATAATTTAGCAGCTGGCTCCCAGACTGCAGTGCTAGCTGGTGCCTTGGGAAACAGCCTCACAACCCAGGAATACAAAGAAAACAAGGRAAAGGAGATGTTATGAGGTAAATCGAACTTCTGTTAAAGACACAGAAATTGTAAACTTCCTCTTGTGACAGAGGTGGATTTTGGTGGTTACAAAATGGACCTCTACCCTGATTTCTTGAAACAGCTCAGGCCAGAGTGTCAAAAATCCTTTGAGCCCCCTAAAACCAGAGAATAACAAAGGCCCTTAGCAAAGCACTAGTAACTTCACTAAAATGCAGAAATAGTGTGTGTTCTCTTAAGGGGTGTGTTCAATTTTCCTTCATTGTAAAAGAAAACAGCTAGTACCAAAAGGCAGAAAAAGGCTGAATGGCTCAATACTCTGGTTCTACAGCTCCTGGTTTAGCCTGTTGTGCACTGGTACACACCAACTTAAAGGAAAACTGCAGTATAAAGAAACACCTAATTACTAGACCAAGTCACTGCACAAGTTTTGTTCATTGAAAAAAAAACAACAAAAAACCCCAACAAAACAGGAAGTTATCATTTCATTAAACAATCAGCACTTACATTATGCTTATGAAAAGGAATTCATAGCAATCTCTGCAAAAAAGACATTATTCCACAGAAATGAGGAATGTGATCAACTGTTAAKAAAGAAAAATTGTCAAAAATTTCTGCAGGTTACCAGGGGTCTAAAGTTTCTTGTTTCCAGACCCAGATGTATTCATCCAGACTAAGATGCCTCTACCTTTCCACAAAACCTAGATAAAGTACATAGGTTAAGTTTTCTTATATATGGAGAAATTCACTGCACCTCATTAGTATTCCACTGTAGACAGAGAGTGAAATTTTCTGGGCAGAGACATTATCTAATAATTTTATAAAGTGCTGTGTACATTCACAGTGCTATATAAACACTAGTTTATAAACAGGAAAAAAAAATCACTGCAGTTTTCCTTTGGCTTGTTAATGTGTTCCCCCTTTTAGCCTGTCTCCTGCTTTAGAGATGAGTTATTAAATGCCCACTGTGGCAAACAGTTAAGGAAATTTCAAAGAGTGGATGGGGCATGACAAAGGCTACAAGGAGTCAGTTCTTTCTCACCCAGGACTCTGTTCTCCTTGCCCATCTTTGTTTTCATCAGCTGTTCAGTGTTATTTCTGCTTTCCCTTCCCCTCTCTAGCCCAAGGCAGTGTGGTGTCAGTTTCTGCTGCTCCCTTTAACCTTCTCTCCCCACCCCCAAGGAGCTGGCATTGGTCCTTCTCAACACACACTGGTTACAAACACAGCAAACTTCAAATAAGGGAGAAAAAAAAAAACAAAACTAAACAAAAAAACCTCAGCGATATGGCACCTAAACTCCAAAGTAAAACACTGGAAACAAAAGCACAAACTTGTCCTCCATCCGAAGTGGGATTCTCAGCAGAGGCTGCAGCAGAGTCTTCAAGGGAAGATGTGCCAGATAGAAGGCATGGATCAGCTTCCAGGACTGCAAAAACACAGCCTTAGGGCTTCGAATCACTAAGTGCGCTCCTCTCCAACTTACCAGAAGATCCTTCTCACTCCAGTCCTGGAGGGGAGGGGTGCTCAGTATGGCTTGCTGTCATTCTTGGAGCGCTTCAGCTGTACTTTCAGCCGCTTCATGCCGATCTGGAAGCCGTTCATTGACTGAATGGCAGCCTGCGCAGAGACAGGATTGTCGTAACTTACAAAACCTGAGGAGAGGAAAACACACAATTACACCATGCCAAAGCTGCCCACAACAGCTGCTYACAACTGCAAATGCAGGCACTCACAAGGTCGGAAAGGCTTGCATGAAGTGCCATTTTCAGAAGCTCACAATTGTTTTAGATTCCTCATAATAACTTCTAAGATCCCTCAAATAAAGCATTGCTGACACGTRGAACTTTGGCCAAAAGATATACAAAGCTCAGGAAATTAAAGTAACATTTTCTAGTTTATCAACAAAATGAGTACTGCTGTTTCTTTTTTAAGAACTCATACTTGGGAGAAAACCAAATCTGGAAAATGCTCATCTAAATGCAAAAGCCCATTAAAGATACAAGACTGAAATCACCCTCATGACATTATGGGAGCAGATTTGTTTGAAGCGAAATAGCTGCCAAGGAAGGGTAGCACTGCTATCACKATTATGTTTAGGCTGCTCTCAAATGAGAGGTTGCATATAATTCCTGGAAAAGACTATCCTGAAAATAAACTTCTCCGGGGTTTTGAAGAAGCCTGTTTTAAATAACTCCACTTAATGTCTGGAGTGAGAATAACTCCCAATCCAGTCAATGGCTACCCATTCCATAATATCCATCCACATATAACACAATATATGTATTATAGCTGAATGATCAGCATATTTTTGTGTTCAAACAGGAAAATATTCAGGATGTTATGTAGGCACAGAGCTATCAAAACCATAAAGGCTCACCTCTCCTATTCCATCACAAGAAATCTCCATCTGTCAAAACAGTCATGAGTGCCTACAGCACTACAAAAATGCAGTACGGTTCCCACAATAATTATATATAAAGATATTAATAGAAAGAATTCATAATCATAAYGTACTAATATACAGAGCAATACAAACAATTGTTGAAAAGACAGGAAGAGGAAAGAGGAGGCACTGTCTCAGGATTACATACAGTCTGCAAATACAAATCATAATCACAGGATATTACGAGTCAGAAGGTAGCCACAAGGATCAACGAATCCAATTCCTTGGTGAATGGCCCATAAGGGGATCAAACCCACAACCYTGGCATTATTAGCACCATGCTCTAACCAACTGAGCTAATCTCAGAGAGAATTATCTAGGGCCAGAACACTATAATGAGGCACAAGAGTATGGAATTGGGAAAAGCAAAGTCCMATTGAAAATCTGGAAAATACAGTTTATTGTTGGAAGTGTTTAGTTTACTTTTTAGGAATACAGAGATTCCCTACTTACTTAGAAGCTAGACTAGACACTATACTGAAAAAGATATTACTAAAAAAAATCTTTTTATATGATTTTAATGATTATAAAGATAATGATTTATAGAATAACAGAACATCCTGAGTTGGAATGGATCCACAAAGATCACTGAGGTCCATGCACAGGACACCCTGAGACCCAAACCATCTGAGAGCACTTTTCCAACACTTCTTGAACTCCATCAGGCTAATGCTGTGACCACTTCCCTGGGGAGCATGTTCCAATGCCCAATCACCCTCTGGGTGAAGAACCTTTTCCCTAATATTCAACCTAAACCTCCTCAGACTTAGCTTCAGGGCATTATCTTGGGTCCTGTCACTGGTCAGAAGAGATCAGTGTCTGCCCCTTTGCTTCCCCTCTTAAGGAAGCTGTAGATCCAACATACCAAAACACTTGCTTAGATTGGTCTGCTTGTCAATGAAAACCTTGGCAGAGACGACATTTCCAAATGGCATAAACATCTGCAGCAGATCCTGATCCCCAAACTCCTGGGGAAGATGGTAGATAAAGAGATTGGCTCCCTCTGGACCTTCAAACAAGAAGTAGGAAAATAAATTSAGAAAGAGTGTGGATAACATACACTGCACAAAAAAGGTGAAAGAGCCACTCAAGACAAATTTTCTAGAGAGAACAATGAAACAGCTATTTAYATTACTGCAGAGCACTTGATTCCAGAATAAATTAGCATCACTCTTTGCTGGGATTGATCACTCAAATAATTCTAGCTCTTTCTCACCACTTTTGCTAGTACTTTACACATTGTGTYAAAACTGGCTCACAGATACTTGCTGTAATGAAAGCTGAATAATAAGTTTGAGTCCTAGATGTTGACTAAACCAAAAACGGCTACATAAAACATCTGGTCCCAAGGAAACTAAGTAAATTTCCTAACAAAATACAAATAATCACATTGSTTGTAATCTGACAGATTCTCTTCTAAATATGCTACATTCTGCTGGAAACTACATTCTTCATTACTTTACACTACAYATTAAATTGAACCTGAATCTGAAGAGTGAAAAGACTGGCATAAGTATCTGTGGGAAGAGGTGAAGGACCAAGAAAACAACATTAATAAAACCACATCTGATTCTCTAACAATGGGATAGAGGCKGTAGACTCATATTGTCCTTCCCTCTGAGGACATGGAGGAGTATGATTAAGGAAGCATTTAAGTCTAAACAAATCCCATGAGAAATATCCTGTGTAAAAACTATTTTGGGCAACCCTTAGTAGAAAGATCTCACAGATCTTCTTTAGCTTCAGTAATTCCTGCATTATAAAAAAAAATGCCACCAAATTAAAAATCTGCAGATAAGGATGCAAGGGCTAAGCCTGCCCTTTTGAAAACCCCTCTCAAGTAGTTTCTACAGTTTTCTGCCTACCTTCTTTTTGACTTCCTGCTGCACCAATACTCTGCTGTGTTAGAAGACTCTGGTTATAGAGTGTGGGCAGTGCAGCAGCAGCATATTGCTGGATTCCAGAATAAGCCTGTGTGAGAGCTTCCATTGTGCTACCTGTCCCATTTGAGAGACCACCACTGCCAAGTCCTCCATTTAAGGCTGCCATTCCTGTATAAGAAAGAAGAAATAAAAGATGACTGAGTACTTCCACTGAGCCAGATCAATAACCTCTCAAACACTTTGTAGGATTACAAAAAGCAGGGAGCAGAAAAAATAACCCAAGAAACCTAGGACAGGCTAAGGAATGATAATCAGCTACTTCSCCAACCTACCATGACACATAACTTACCTGCTAAAGAGCTAACGTTGAGGCCTGCTGTAGCACCTGCCAGCGTCTGCAATGCTCCAAGAGAAGCCATTGGATTAACAGAGGAGCTGCTACTGGAACTAGGTGAGGAACCTGCTATTAAAATAGAATAATTAAACTTCAACTAATATTTTTTTGGTCCTGATAATTCAAMTTCTTCATTAAGTTACTCCAGAAGGAAAAATCAGTAAGGAGCAGACCCAGGCAACACAGTATAAATTACGTAAAAAACCCCAAACCCACACAATTTGATTGATCATACTGCTTCTACATTCCAAACCCCTCCTACATTTTAAAAAAATTTCTACTTCATCACAACATCTATTCTTTGTGGCAGTAATAATGTCATGAAGTGTAAAACGCCTAAGATTGAGACATTATATGAATGTTGGCTAAACTCCGTATCTCAACATAAGGTMACCAGCAGCGATGCCCTGTTTCCTGCTGACTAGAGTAAGAGCACTTGCTATGTATTAACATATATCCTTGAAACAACACATAAGGAGAAAAAGACCTGAAACATAGATACTTGGGACATTAAAGAAGGCTGAACATGGGGTTTTCCCATACTGCCAGAACAGGAACACCACATAYCCAGATTATTTTGACACATTAAATAATTTTCTATTAAAAACCTTGCTGCCACAGCTGAGGCTCTGACTGAGAAAAGTCTTGAAATGTACATCCAAAAATACATAGTTTGTCCTCTCTTGATTGAAGATATTGCTGGAATAATCATGTTGGCTCAGTAAGAGAAGTCTACAAATATAGCACCTAGCACAGTAACAGCTTACATGGTCAGCCAAAATCTACAACAGGTAGAATTAGTTCTACAGAAATCAACATGAAAAACATAAGGAAAAGAAGTTTTCCAAGCTGATATATCAAAAGAAACAGAAATTTAAACTGAGGTCATCTACAAAGATTTATGGCCATGATAAAGTAAGAAATGCATGGTATTTTTATAATTGTTTAGCAGTGGTTTTTCTAACAGGTTTATGCACTATTGAAAAAGAAAAGCTATGCATATTACTATTAACCAAGAAGTTTAAATTCACTGCATAAGATGCACTAGAAAATATTTATGGCTGCTAAATATGAAAAGATATTGAAGACTGATGCTGTAGAGGCATCTTGTAATGTGCTTTCAAGAGGCATTTATCTGTTTGACAAAAACATGAGGAAAACTGAAAATGCTTCAAATTCAATTCTTCTCTTACCCCCTTGGTCAATTATGCTGCATACATCCATTAAAACTTTAAAAAGAATTAGCTGCATGAGAGCCAGAGAGCTGCACTACATACCACTCTTTTTTACTAAAAGAAGAAATGACAAACCTCCTCTAGAAAACGTTTAGACAAACTCCTAATAAATAAAAAATTGAAACAATAACTTAAGATGCTTAAAAGGAGACACTTCCTGTCTTACTATCCATAGCACATTAAATGTTTGGAAAATGCAAAGAACAAGTTACAGTATAACCCTCAAGYTGGTAGAAAAAGCAGCACAGTTGGCTGAATAAAAGCCAGAGTTCAGAAACCATAGTTACATCAATTGTAACTGGTTTCTGCAACATTTAGTTGCTGCAACATTTAGTTGCTAATCTTTATAACTCAAAAAGACGCTACATTTGGCAGATGAGAACATCATTTAAAGCCCCCCCAAACCTATCCCCAACAAAATAGAAACAGCTAAAGCAAAAAAGGCCAGAGAACAAAGTGAGATAGAGAATGGATGCCTTCCCTGTTTAAAAGGCTGTGATTTTAAATAAATTCAGTTAAACCACTATAAAAAGCTGATCACGTAGCTATTTCAGTTTAGCTGCCTTTATTAGAAATTTCTTCAGGCAAAACAAGAAATGCTTTAGTACTGAAAACACCAAGAAAACTGAAGGCTTGTGTTTCTTTATCCTATGTAGAMACCAAAGAGAGCATCCCATTTCTGATGATGACAAAAGGCAGATAAGTAACAGGAGAGCAGAAATACAGGGCAATTACAAAGGAATGCTTCCTACCTACAGTCTATATATCAACACAGCCATCTGTGAATCTAGGATTTCTTCAGCCAAAGGCAATGTCTTTGTAATAAAGTTATGATTTTCATTCATTAATTTCAATGCACTGTGAACACCAAATTGTTGGACTCCACTGTGTTCTAAGGCACAGTTTCTGCAATTTAATCATAMCCTCTGCTAAGAAAAATCTGGGTTTTTTTAAAAAATTATCAGGCTGACCTGATATCCTGCAATTCTTTTCTTGAAATACCTAATGAYTGGTTTTTCCCTGTCCATCTTCATCACAGCCTAATGTATTTGTAGGCTGYAATCATCCTTTTCCCATGTCAGCCTTCTATTTTTCAGGCAGTTCCTAAGAGGGAAGGAGTTCCACAGTTCTAGTCATCATTTCTGTTCTAATTTTCTTGTGTTCTCTTTTCGATCAGAAAAGAGCACAACTAAATGGKGATGGAAAACCAATACTGTTTTATGTGTGTTCTTTATTCCATCCCTAATTATTAACATTGTTTCTCCGCAGTTTTTGGTGGGTTGTGTTTTTTTTTTCTTGTCACTAAAGTAATGTTTTCTTAGATCTACCTCCCCAGCTACATCGAGTCAAAAAGGCTAACTCTAACAAAAGTAGCCAAAAATACTCAGAAATTTCAGAAAATTTGATTATATAATAAAGAACAGCTTTATAGAAAGATACTGAAAGATCTGTTATTAGAAAGAATGAAACCTGGACAAGGTCATCAAGTAACAACTTGAGGAGGTAGGCAAACTGAGGGAACAGTAAGTGTGTCCTAATTCAGTCATGCAGCATCCAAGCAATGACCTGAAGGAAAATGATGAATCTGGCGATGAATCTGATAACTGCACCAGAATTAGTTCCAGTAAAATCAGAAACACTATTGTTTTCAGCCATCTCTGAAAACAATTTTGCTGGAGACATACTAAGGCCAGGAAAACCATCTAGGCTTTGTTGGACCTTTGAGGCTGCCTTTAGGATGAAAAATGGAAACATACCTCAGCATTTGCAACCATTCTGTTTTGCTCTGGAGCAGAGAATTCTTGCATTGTCAAAAAGACGGCAGACAAGACACTCCTATCCTGAGATACTTCTATATKTTCTTGTATGTCCCTTTCACAAGCAAGCAGTTAAAGTGAGTTTATCTACAGCCATGGTCTCTGCAACAGTGACTTCCTAACAGCAGTAGACTGGTCAGTTCCAAGAGCAGCTAATCTTCAGCAAGGTTGAAGGTTTTACTATCTCAGTCTATGTCAAAATACACAATTGTGCTTGGAACTATCTGAAGAAAATTGTCTGAAATGGGTAGGCAGACAGCACAACAACAATATGTAACACCTCTGAGTTTAACCATTCTGACACGTAACCTATCCATAGTCCATGTACTGCACTGTGTAGACCTCCAAGTTCCCCAGACAGAAATTATATCAGTGCAGGTGAAAGAAAATAAAAAAGGCAACTATGCAAAAGGACTGTCTGGATTTTTCCACCAATTATGCAATTTGAGGAGAGATGTCCAAATAAGCRTCAGGTGAACATTTGGATGACAGATGGAGAGAAGTCAAGGAGTTAGTCATCTCATCTGCAGTTAGGTTTAAGAGGTTATCACAGTGGATGTTGCCATATGTCCCTCAGACAAGACAGGCACTTATAACACATGGTCCTGAACTGCTATATACTGAATTTYTTCAAGGTTCTAGGTGTAGTTCAGGAGGGATAGATGTTTTCTGTGTGGAGTCCAACAGCCTTCTATGTGATACATAGAGAGTGAATGCACATATGAATATTTATCAAAATAGAATTTCAAATTTGCTTGAAGACCTAAGAGCTAAAAAGCTGTATAATTACATGAAATATGGGATTGAATGCGTCTGTACACATTGAGGCTTCCCTCATCCCAATTTGAGGACAGTTTTAAAGGTGAAGCATATTTAAACCTCTAATGAAAAGCACTAGACCTGTTTCAGAATTTGATGTCAGTGACTACTTATAGACCACATACCCTCCAAAACATTTATTTCTTTTGAACAAAGCTCATATCTACTTTTTAAAAATATACTTGAAATTAGTTTTAAAGAGCAATACAATAGTGCCTGCTTCATGTTACAAGCCTGTTAAGAGTGAACTGATACATCTCTACAGGATATTAATACAAACGATCCATCATGATAACTGAATTTTTGACACAATTATTTATTGATATTACTGATGATGAGAAGGCTATTTGGATTCAGCATAKAAAGTACTTAAAAATGGCCTCCACCAGCATGATAAAAAATGGAACAAGAGTCCTGAAATATGTCTCTCATCAAGGGAAAAGGAACTTGCATAGTTCCACAGAACAGCCAAAATTCACAGAGGGAAAGCCAATTCCAAAGAATCACTCATTAGTAGTATAACTTCATTTGAAAAGGACCTGTGGGTCATCCTGTCTAGCAGTCTGYTCGGTGCTGATTAAACCTCTGAATTGGGTTACCCTCTTCAAGGTCCTTTCCAATTGCATTCTCACTCTCTGAAATGACAGAGATTMCACAGCCCCTCTGGCAACTTGTTCCTGAGCTTGATCACTCTCGCCATTAATTKTATTTTTCTATCTAATCAGAATTTTCTTGGTTGCAACTTGTGCCTGTTGCCCTTGGCCTTCCACTGCACACTTCTGAGAAGGGGCTGTCTCTCCTTTTTCTAGCACATCTGACATTTAAACTAGCCAACCTACCAGCCCCTTTCTCCACCTCAACAAAACAGAGAACAAATTTGCTGCAGTCATTAGACATGACAGGCAATGAAGAAATCTTAGTTCTGAATGCCAGTCACAGCAAACTGTAACCTGACAAAGCATGAGGAAATATAGGAGAAATTGTCAGATATATCCACCTTCATACTTCCATTCTGATGAAGAAGCATTTGTGGGTTACAAATGCAGCTCTTCTGTATGATGAACTCTTAATTGATTTTGTTTGTYTGTTTTCATTAGTTTGTTTCTTAATAACAGGATATATAGCTGGGAGTCAAGATAAATTTAAAAATTTCAATCTTTTAAGGATTGCAGACCACAAAGTTTTTAAGTAAAAAATGTCCAGCAACAGAACACTCTTTGAACGAAATTCTTTCTTGGGAATTTCTCTTAGTAGAAAACTGTGCAAAGCACCCATGGTTTAACTCCCAATCATGTGACATAAGGTTTTCTAAACAGCTTTTCCTTGTAATCTCTTTATAACCTCTTAGCTCAGCTCCCTGGTCCTCCTACRCAACTCAAAAATCTACCTGTGGCAATTTAAAACTTCTCCCTTCAACCCTCTTTGGTGTCTCACAGCCACAGGGGAGGATGTCAATTCTGCAGGATAGAAGCCAGTGGAAAACCTACACTGTGAAAATACAGGGTCTCCCCTCTCATGTCAGGATTCTGTAGTAACTCAAAATAGGATAGAAATAACTGAGTAGAATACTGATCCTCATTTGTGATAAAAACTGAACATGTCTGTTCTAAGCACGGTTGAATTTTTAGTTTTTTGCTCAATGCATTTAATGATCACATTTAACAATAAAGCAGCAAAAGAACACTACTTGGACATTCTAGTGTCTCTGGTTAACGTGTGTAACCTAAAGTTAAAAAACCCAACCCAAAACAAACAAGGCCCAAAAAAAGCCACACAGAAGGAAGATACTGATTTTTATATGCAACTTGTACACTAAGCTCTAGATAGCTACTTTTTAGTAGAAGTGCTAGATGTCTGTTTATTTTACTTTTATGAGGAATTTATAGTATCCTTATCATTAATGGGATACAGACTGTATTGTTCTAGTGCACAGATGCATTATCTCATGTTAAAGGCATTTTCTGTTTCTGTATTGACAGGAACAGGGCATATTTGCCACAGTTCCTGCCTAAAATCACAGATAACCCAAATATGTGATAATACTGTAATAACATGACTGGAAGGAGGTCACCTACCTTTCTGCTTCATGATGACCTCAAAAGTTTTTTATTGTAAATTGATCTGACCATTTGGAGGAAGAAACACACCAGGTAAAAAAAGCCTTTGCTGGTGGCAGATATCTACTCTWAACAGAGGCCAGTGAATCTACTAGTAAACTGTTTACCTATTAAAGATCAACATGAAAGCGACAAAAAGGGATAGACAAAACAGGTGACATCTATCCTGAAAGGACTTTCAAGGCAATGCCTGTGGTTACAGGATCCAGCACAGACAGTCTCTTACCTGAGCTGGTGAGCACACTCAGGGGGCTGCTGGAGGAAGTGAGTGCAGCAGTGCCACTCGGTGTGTTCTGAGCTGCACTGGCTGCAGCTGCCAACGCTGCCAGGTTCTGTAGCTGCATCGCATTCAGTCCTGCAACACATGGAAGAATGCAGAGTTTCTGCTGTAAAAGCCACCATCATCCAGGTGTAACAGATCCAGCAACCTCATCACAATGGAGGAATGGGAAGAAGCTTAAAAGCAACGAGGTTAATACTAGTTACCGATGTTKTCTACATCACAATTCCTTGCTATAATCAAAAAAGTTTTTCTTTTCCCAGATAGACGTGACTCAGGAAAAAGCCAGGTAGTCATTACCCAGATGTATCCAAAGTACAGCAGTTTTCAAGCAGCATTCTCTGCAGTCAACAAAAGCATAATTTAATTCAGGGTTTGAGAGTTCAGGCACAAGCTAGAGAACTTGCCTTGACACCAGGCCAGTAACTTCCTCCACTCTCATGTCCCTCCACACTTGTATGAGGACAGCAGTAACTGCAAATTCTTTTTCATGAAGGCCTCACACCACAGCAGCCAAAGTCATGGCTTTAACCCACCATCAGCTGAGCATCAGCATGTTTTGTTTGGTCCCCCTGGCAGCCAAAAGGCARCAAACAATTGTGAGACAATTGTTGAGTGGCAACTCCTGATCACAGGATCAGCCAATGTATCCATAGACTGGTCAAACACACTGGCAAGGAGAACAGGAAACCTCAGCCATGTGGGTATGCAGCAGGGGGAGGAAGGGATCCCTCTTTATGAATTTTACTGGTCAATTTACTCATCTGACACCTTCATCCTGAGCCATCATTTTTGAATGAAACCATTTGGTCAGATTTTGCTCTCTTCTCCTGCCATAGGATTATCACTAAAATGGAACTCCTCCTGAATTCTGTGTTTTAGTCATCCTTTGGTAGACTAGTCCCATTCTTCCAATTCTGCTTCTCTTCACTTTTCCCTTTTTTCCCATTTTTTGTCTCTACCTTTGATTATTTTAAAAATTCCTCCTCTTTTCAATCCCTAATATTTCTTCTGAACATAATAAAGACCAAAATAAAATYAATTGCCCTTCACTTAGCAGAGGTGGTATCTTTTCTCTTGGGCACTTAGTAAAGCCTCAGGAGCAAAGCRCACATCTCAAATAATGAAAACTTCCATTTTGTAGTTTAAACATGTAAACAGACAGCATAACAATGACAACACAGTATAAACTAATTATTTTCTAAAACACTTCTACTACCTTTAGTCCAGTTTGTTTRGGTTTTTAAACTCTTTTTCAAATGTTTTCTCTTTGTGGCAGGGTCTGTTTCCCAAGGCAAATTTAGTTCCCAAAACATGTGGATTCTGCCTTTATTTAGATTTACAAGGTGCCATTGTAGCATAAAAGCATGAGGTTAAAACCAAGAAGTTTTCTATTTTACTTTTATTGTGCTCCAGAGGGTTAAAAGTGCAAGCATTGGAGCTAATGAAGAACAGAGCAGCTTGTTCCTTACTGAAGCAGTTTGTCATGTGCACACTGCACCTGTCCTCTTGTCATCACACTGTTTTCCCATCTGCTTTCAAACAGCGTCGAGATTAAATTTGTCAAAAAGTCTGATACAGTTTGGGATCTAATTACCTACTTAATTCTTCTTTCCATGAATTTCAAGAAAGGACATCAGCTGAGATATTAYCAGGATCTTATATCTGCAACTTTTTCTGTAGAGAATCACAAATTCCGAATAACCATGCAACATGCTATCTATATACCTGATTTCTCAGTTTTCAAGGAAGGTTTTGTTTGGTTTTTTTTTTCAATACTAAAGACAGAATTACCTTGGAAGCTTCTCAMTCTCAGCTAGTTACACCATTCCTCCTACTCCTGTCCTTATTCCCTTATTTTCTTCTTTATTACATCTTGTTTTGAAGCAGATATAAGAGGTGGGAAAGACAGGATCATGTGTGTAACAACATCCATTATAGATAACCACCACACATTAGTGGAAGGTTTTTTCAAAAAAAGTTGCTTTTTGCAAGAGTCTTAGATTGAAGAGCTCTGAAGAGGTTTAACATGAAAGAAGTCAACAGTGGACRCTTAGGTTAGAATCAGCTTCCAGTATAAATCAAAATTCTTACAAATGATAACATAGTACTTTGCAAATGCTTGTAATTGCTACTGAGGGGTGCACCAGCCAACACAAGTCACATGTACAAAGACATTTTTGGATGAACTTCTGTACAGACAGGGCACATGACATAGGGAACTACCGTAAAATTCCAGGAGGCAATTTGAAAAGCTTGAAGTGTTCAGTATTAAAACCAAAACTACAGATTTTTTTTTGCCAGCAGAAGAATTTAGAGAATGTGGTGAATGGAGTTGCTAACATGTGTTTTATTATTCAACACTGTGTGAAGGCAAAAGGGACAACCAATTTGCCGCCCTAGGACTGCTATATTCAGTGAATATTCTGACTAGCAGTCCACAGCAAGGAATTTGGCTCATACCTATTAAACTGGTATTTCCCTAACAGCAATGGCATAATTAACTGTAATTCAAATGAATGAATAAAAGAATCTGAATGAAGGACTAGCTCACATTCCTAACAATAATGTTTTACCAACTTAAATGCTTTGTCCTTAAATACATTGAAAATGGGAAAAATAAGAACCCAGTATCACTAAAATATGCATTAGTGCCTATTGAAAAACCACAGTTCTTCACATATGTACCTGTTTGGATGAAAAATAATACAGAGAGCATTCTTTTCATTACCCATAAGGGAAGATAATTTTAAATGCCAGAGGTTGGGGAGATACCACCACTTACCTTGGGGACAATAGTTAACTAAGATTAAGAAGAAACATCCACACTTGTAGCAGAGAATTCCTGCATTTCAAAGGAGTAGGTAAACTCAGGACTACTTATTCCAAATGAGATAAAAAAGCTTACAGCTTTTTAGCTACCTTCTCTACTCTTGTCCTCTTTTGTTTGGCACTGAATTTGTCTTCTGATGGAAAAAAACTCACCTCCCATTGGGTGGAGGCTGCTCAGTGTGTTCAGGTTCCCAGAAGAAGCAGCTGCTGTCTGCTGAAGGAGCTGCAAATAAAGCTAGACATTACACCAAAAAACAAAACAAGAGTGAGAGTGAGGGCTGGCTCTGCTTCTGGGAGAAACTGCATCACACCACAGCCAGAGCGCCGTCACAAATTAATTCCTGCTGCCCATGCACCACATCACAGCAAAGCGTACAAAGAATTCCCCTGAACGCTACAGCCAGAGCACCACCAGTGAAACTCCACATAGYCCATGCATCACATTGCAGCCAAAGCAACAGCACAATGCTTTCCTCACTCAATATCATCAATGCTGAGGCAAAATTATAGCACAAAACCAGTAGAATCAGTAAAGAGAGCGAATTCCTATTCAAAGCACCTAAGGCAGGATTGCCACTCCTAAGGATATGCTACCCCAAAACAGACTTTATAGCTGACACTGCTAGCATGGAMCGAACAGCAATGCCATACCCAAACCAAAAAGCCACCATGAGAAGGAACCCACCACCTCCTCTATTTTCCTTATGCACAGTAGATGTGAGAGACATTTCAAGCCTCAGCTCAGAAACTATTTAGAGTTATCCAAWTCCTTTTTCCATTAAATAGCTGTTGTTAAAAAAAAATCCAATCTACCAAAACTAAAAAAGTAGTAAAGAATTTCCCCATTTCAACTATACACCATACCAAGAATGAGGTGAAGTTTTCCTTTTCTCAGACTTTATATTGTGTGACTACAGTTCTTAGAGTTTTTCTCGCAACCCAAATGAGACAAAATTTTTGAAAAGTTCATCCTTTAGGGACCCAATGGAAAAATCAACTGAAACTGCAGTCCACCTTTTGTTATATCTTTTTTGCTAAAGAGAGTAGTTTCTCCCTATTTTCTTTAGGGTTTGTTTTTATTTGGTTGGTTGGTTTTTGTTATTTGGGTTTATTTACTCTGCTTCCAATCTGATCACCTTTTCTATTTGGACAGTACCAAGTCCTGTTCCAGATTTCACTGGAAGAGGATGACAGAACTAAAGGAAAATGGTAAAGGAATACAAGAACTTTCTCATCAGATAGATGAAAAGGGCATTTAAATGGTAAATGTTGAGGCAGTAGCATATAAACACAGAGCACATTCTTCCGGATGCCAGAGAAAAACCCAAGTTTTCAGTAATTAGGGCTATTGTTGACTGGGGTTGAAATCCTCCCTTAAATGCATAAAGCTAGATGAGAGTACACAACACAATTTCTGCCTTCTGGTCCACAAAATGGGGATTAAGAACCCAGCTCCTATCTACCAGGAGCCTTCTAAAAATGATTACACTGCAAGACAAACACTGCAATTCCTGAAGAGATGAAAAGAACCCAAATCAGAAACTCACTGCTAAGTACTGGGGTCCAAGGGTGTTGAGACCAGCCAGGTTTCCCCATATTGAGGCAGCACTGATTTGTTGCATCTGTTGCTGAAGTTGCTGAGCAATTCGTTTCTGCTCTTTGTCCTTCTGCGTGTCTGCAAATTTTACAACAATGGGAGAAGAGCAACCCTGCAAACAGCAATTAAAACAATTACATACTTGCTATCCCCAGCAGTCACAAAAATACTGCATTAAGACCCAGTCATTGGAAGCATTCCCCTCCTCCTCTACGCATGCATAAAGATATATATATATATATATATAATTCAAACAGCACATTTTATGAAAGGCTCAAAATCTTGCTTGCCTTTAATTCTATTTTGTATTTTGGTATTTTCTCTGCAGATGAAGTTTCTGTCTCAAACTCCAAAAATAGAGTGGAACAAACACAAAGGTCCAGGAGCAGTATTTGTGAAGAAACACTGCACTTATCCTTCTCTCTGCTCTCTAGTCTCTTAAACTTTGCAGTGACAACCTGACAAATTACATCTGCTCCTGACACCCACTAACTTGTTTTACCTCCATGGTTTGTGCTTGGTGCATTGCTTTGATTGCTGTTTGTGCCATGGCTCTTGTTGTAAAAGTCACAAATGCACAACCTGGGGAAAGAACAAGAAGGAAACAAGTTGTTCACTACTCCCACAATTATTGGGATGAATACAGGAATGAAAATGCTTACTGGGCAGGGAGGGGGGTAGGTGGGAATCAAAGAAAAAGCTCAAACGACAGGTTGAGTTGCAAAAGGCAGCATCCAGCATCCTCAAACTGACAAAAAGGCTTCTTTCTTTGCTTACCTCGGCTCAGRCCATCTGGGCCCCGTAATATCCTGCATTCTTCAATCTGCCCAAAGGGGGAGAACATCACTCGAATATCATTTTCATTGCACTTCTTGGATATCATTCCAATAAACAATTTCCTATCTTCTACTGCTAAGGAATCAAAAGATAAAGAGTATTATCAGCAAATATGTGCTTATTAGATCTTATTTTGCCAAGTCTCCACTAACTGCGTTATTTCCCTTGTATTTAGGATATGGGCTTGTCAAAACCAGATTCCCAGTAACGGACTGTGTCCTCCATTTAAGAGGATGTATATGAGATACTTCAAGGAACCTGATGGATGYCTGTTTTATGATTTTATAACTTGCTGTTTTTAGCTTGTGAAATCTGTGAACAACAGGGGTGCAAAAACAAAAGAAAAATGTATGTCAGAGTCACTACTTCCCAGTATTTTAGTTCAGGTGAGAGAAGGCTTGAATGTGGTTTACTGGACTACTTTTATCATCTTTCCTCTGCCTATTCTATCTTTAGACCACCAACATACCTAACTGCACATAAGCAAGCACGCGAAGTGCAGAAAGCTTATTTCTAGCCCCATGCCAATCACTTAAATTTAGATATGCCCATTTCCTCACACTCCTCTCCCAACATTGGAAGCAACAGCAGTTGCTAAAACAGAACACTTTTACTTCTGTTAGAGATACGCCCATTCTGATCTGCACCAAAACCACAAAAATAACACCTCAAATCAAACCATGAACTGTGTGGTACTGTATCTTGGCTCATGCTACTAGACATATTAGAGTTGAAGAATACTTTTCAGTGYGCAGACTGTTTTAAAATAAATGGTTCAGAAGGACATTTCTCTAACTTTTCAGTTAGTTGTTACTAATGTCAGTTAAAGGTCACTTGACGGAGTGGGATAAATTTGAATTTAGAGCAAAATGTCATACTCTCAATTTACCTATTTAAGGATGCTAATCACATGTGAAACACTTTTTTCAAAGAATGAAACAAATKATTTAGAACACCAGTTGAATATATAAATCAGTTTAGATATACAACATTCATCACAATATAAAATATAGTATGATAAAGGCTCTAGCACATTTTGAAGCTTCAATAAAGTCTTCTCCTATTTAGTCCTACTGTGAGGGGAAACCAACTTATTTGTAAWGTCTTCTATGGTGCTGGAAAGGAAAACTCCAAACTACTTCAGCAGACATGACTTTAACAGGCCATTAAACCTTAATTCACTTTCTGGTCTTAGAGCAGAAAGCTATTTTCAAATCCTTTTAGCAGCCCATTTTAGTTGCAGAGATCCAGAATTCCTCTTATTAGTGGCAAGTTCAAATACTTTCGTAACTAATGACTTATTTATTTTTGTCAATGACTTATATATTTTTGTCACCTTCACCTTTTATTTATATATTATACTTACAAAAAAATCAGAGTTAAACAATAGTCTCAGAACTACTGTTCTAAAATTCTATTAAATACTTCTTTCTCTTTCCATTATTTCCCCAGAATGTTTGTACATCTGTTTGCATGTAATGCAAGATCCGTTTTAGTTTAGAGAACYTATTCTGTTCTCCTCCCAACAATACTTCAAAAGAATTACTCCTTTCTAGATATATTTACGCAGGAACATGTCCTATATACCCATGGAGGAACCTGCAGATGGAATTACTTCTACTATATGTTACCCATATATTCCATCTCGTGTTTTCAACTATATTAAGATGTAAGCTTTCTGAAACCAGGATTATCTTCTCCATGATAAATACTGCAAATGAAGAWAATAAAATTCAGCCAAGCCTAGAAAGGCTGAAACTACTTTTCACACTTTTTCTGCTTATGTTGCAGCAATATAGATACATACGTATTTGAACGTGCACATATGTATGCATATAAATTCACAAGGAAATGCATGTGGATGCTAAATTCTTAATCTGTCTGAAATGGCCAATGTGCAGTATTCTCAACCTCTTTTGCATGCTACAAGGTTTATTTTTGACTCCCACCCTACCTGCAACAGGCCTTGCTTCAAATTGGCCAAATACTTGAAAAAGCATTTTTAGATTTCTAGAATCATAGAACAGTTTGGTTTGGTAAGGACCTTAAAGATCACTTAGCTCCTTTCATTAGACTAGGCAGCTCAAAACCCCATCCAGACAGGTCTTGAACATTTCCAAGGATGAGGCATCCACAGTTCCTCTGRGTAACCTGTTCCAGTGTCTCACCATCCTCATAGTAAAGAATTTCTCCACAAGATCTAATCGGAATCTCTTTCAGTTTAATTGTTATTAATTACTGTTATTCCTTGTGCTATCACTACACTCCTGGATAAACAATCTCTCCAAATCTTCCTGGTAGGCCCCCTTCAGGCACTGGAAGGCTGCTAGAGRGTCTCCCTGGAGCCTTCTCTTCTCCAGGCTCAACAACCCCAACTCTCTTAGGCTGTACTCATAGGGGAGGTGTTCCAGCCCTCTGATTATCTTGATGGCCCTTTCCTGGACATGTTTGAGTAGGTCCATGTCTTCTGCCGGGGGCCCCAGAGCTGGATGCAGTRCAGCAGAGAGGGAGAATCACTCCCTCAACCTGTTACTCCTCCTTTTGATGCAACCCAGGATATGACTGGCTTTCTGGGCTACAAGTGCACACTGCCTGTTTATATTCAGTTTTTCAGCCACCAACACCCCCAAGTCCTTCTCCTCAGGGCTGCTTTCAATCCACTCTTCACCCAGCCTGTATCCACAGTTGCAGGACTTTGCACTTGGCCTTGTTGAACTGCATGAGGTCAGCACAGGCCCACCTCTCCATCCTCTGGATGTCTTCCTTTCCCTCTAGGGTATCAACCACAGCACTCAGCTTGACATCATCTATAAGCTTGGTGAGGATGCACTCAATCCCACTGTCCATGTCCYCAACACAGATTTAAACCACCTTAGTACAAAGAAGAATTTACTGGATGTTTCCCTAACTGACAACATGGTTCTACCACAAGCAGCAGCAGGGGGAGATACTCTGAGTCATGGAATTTCAGAGACATCACTCACACTACCTACTGTATTGAAAACACACCTTTCTCTTTTCACTTTCTTTCTTTTAAAAAAATCAGTCCTCCAATTCAAGGACTTAATCAGAAGCTATTAAACAAAAGAGAAATCCTCAAACTTTCTGACTATCACAAATGATGACATCAAATGGGGATTTTAATAAAGCTTACCATTACTCTTTTCACTGTCGGCTGGTTTCATCTGGATAGGATGGTGCATCTAAAATGTAAAAAGATTATATAATCCCAGGCACATTAACTTCATACTATATGAAATACATCCCATAAGAATTGTGAAAGAAAGAAATTGTAGCCTAAATTGCCTCTAGAGGGGTGCGCATGCAACACTACAAAAATTCCAAGAAGAAAGACATTCCCAATTATATGCTATGATTCTTCCTCAGAGTATTATAAGAGCCATGCCCACCCACTTCACTACCATATTATTCTTTTAAATACTCAAAAATTCCCTTAAGATCTGTCATTATATATATCTCATGACACTGATCTTTTAAACAGTTTTTACAGCATTATTTTAGGGCAACGTAACGTATTTGTACTTCAGTGGTGCTGGGGCTCAGAGAAACAAGACAGAGTTGTGAAGAAAGCAAGACTCTGCTCTTACCCCTGGGAGGATCTTCATGTTGTGAAGAGCATTCTGTGCTTCTAGTGCAGCTTTACGGGTATAAAATGTAACAAAACAGCACCCTGCAATTAAAACAAAATGCTAGCTAGGAAAGAACACTGAATCCTGGAGTAGTGTACAGGAATTGCAAGTCCCACTTCCATTTCCCATGCGAAATGTATGGTAAGTAGAAGAGGTTAGGCACTGAAACAGGTAGGTGCTACTGATTGTGACAGTTTAAAAGAGGTTTCTAAGAGTAATAAAATAACATGTTCAGAACTGACCCAACATCACTAGTTCACCATTAAAAGAAATATTTAGATACATCTGATACATCAATTATTTCCTAGTACCAAAACTCTACGTAGCTTCACAGGAAATAATGCATACAACAGAATTGCAAATCCAGGCACAAAATTTAGTAAGGATTTAATGTTTACAAGTATTTGATTTACATGAATGACAAAGGTGTCAATTCAATATTTTATCTGAAACTRTGTCCCATCCAGCAACATTTTGATCACATCACAGCACCACAGTGATGCTCTGGGGCAACACAGTGGTAATGTGATGCTCTTCTTTGCAATCATAACCYATACTCCTCAAGCATCTCCATCACTGCTGAGCTCTAAAAAAAGAAATTATGATTTTCCTCAGCTCAGCTAATAACTGGATCACAATTCAAGTATAATTACATAAATATACCTAAAGACCTTATAAAGCCTGGGCTTGCATGGACACCTGGTCACACAGAGTTCCTACACACACCTTTGAATAGGTACACAGCTAAGACTACAGCTGTGAAAGCGGTTGAAACCCCAAGTCTCACAAGAGAAGTACTGAAGTTCTCACCTTTGCTTTGAGGAGGATTTTGGCTCCTGTCCCGCAAGACATTGATTTCATAGACAGCACCATACTGTTCAAAAAGTTCTCTTAGATCCTTCTCACACCAGCTCCGTGGGACTTGACCCACAAACATTTTGATAGCATCTAGATCAGGTTGGTCTGGGTGATCCAGTGTGCCATTCATTTTCTTTGAGCTATGAAAAAAAAGAAGGAATTTCTGGTTTATACCTTCCTATGCACTCTAAACAAAAGCATGCTTAGAGCAAAATTGATAAAAAAAAAAAAATTCTACACATATATAAATGTGTATGATTAAAATATACATATAAAGAGAAAATCTTGCACATTCACAGTACTGCATACCAGAGTAYATTCACATTCATCGGCAATCTGTGTACTTGGAAACCAAACACACTCTACACAGCWGTTTAGAACTTTGTCCCATAATGTAGTCAACATCTGGGATTCAGGATATAAATCTGCTGAGATAACTGAAAAGTATCACTAGTTCAACCAAGTAAAATTTTACAGAAAAAGAAACCCGAACTGAAAGRAGGCTAAACTCAGTCTGCCTACAAACTACCAAAGTTATCAGCTGGCACCGAAAATGAGAGGATAATGTTATTAGAATGTTTTAAAATTAGACTAAGTGTAACTATTTCCCAAGGTGAAGATCCACCTTGAAACAGAGAAACACAATCAACTGATCCAATGATAAAGGACTTTAGAGGTTTACAAGGCAATACCTCTTTGTGAAACTAGGGAGCCTTCAATAATAATTGGCAAAAAAATAGGCTTAGATTGTACATGAACAATCTGGGATTGGACAATCGAATTAGTCACAGACTGAATCAGGTTCACTAATGGCAGGATRCTAACACAGAAAAAAAGTCACTTCTTAGACTACAACACAGAAGTTTTGAGTATGGGAATCCTCACTAGGTTTCAAGGCATTCCATCTAGCCATACAAACAGCTTACACACTASTAATAAAAGCTGTGTTATGCTCCACCCAGCCAGCTGACAGTCACACACTGCTCTCTGTATCAACTCCTCATCATTTGTTAGGTGCAATGTGAGGTTTTGTTATCAGTACTCCACTCCCACCCTGGTGCACCAGAGGACCTATCCCTGCGGAAGTCCGACTGTAACGACATCCTACTGTAGCTATAGTGATTAGCTGCTTAAAATTGCTGACCAATCCCTGCCTAATCTAGAAAGGACATGGGGAGTGGAACAGCAACTATACAATGATTCCCCCCACACCCAAACTCTTTGTTGAAGAATATAGGTGGTCTTCTTCCAGGGTAGTCAGGTCTCTTCATCTCTGCTCTTTTCCCTTGAAGATAGTTTGAATGGCTTATTAAATGCACATGATAATAAACAGTATTTTTCTCACTGTCCACCTGAAATCATATTTCCCCCAGAGAGAATTAAAAAAAAAAATCCAAGCCTGGTAACGTTTAGTTATTTTTTCCCACCAATACACTGTTGTTCAGATCTAAGGAAAAGACTGATGCCAGGGAAAGCTCATAGTTTTACAGCTGTATGAACAGACTTCAAAACCAACAACGTTTCTTACTAGAAGGGAATCATTATAAATCCTTTCACTCCTCTCCACCTGTCCGYTCAGAAAGGGTCAGCACCTCTCCAAATAGACAAGGGAAACAGTATCTTTTACACAGAGGTAAACTACCTCTTTTCATTTCAGTTAAGAACACTTGGAAATTGTTTACCCTCTCCAATAATAATTTTCAGCCCTGCCTTCCATGCRTAGCTTCAAGAACACAACATGGCTCCTGTTAACTGGGCAACTCTTAACATGATCTCAACAGTATTTAAGGAATATTTTACTCCTAATTAAAAGGTTTAGTCTGGAGTCATTAACAGGGAAGAACAGAAACKGTTCTCCCCACTACTGTGGGGAAATATTTAAACAATCCATTTTATAGTATCAGCATCTGTAGCATTGTCAAGCGGCTTCACTCCTCCTTAGTTCTAATTGCCACAATTATCAGACCACTTTCCCCCATCTAGAAACCAACAGCAATTTTTCATAACCACTAGAATTTCTTCAAGAAAACCAAGTGCACTCTCGCCTAGTTCTCCTTCCTGTCCCACTTTGCCCCATCAGACAGGAGAGGCTTGAGACAGCAATTCCAGCTATCATTTTAGTCATAACTTAGACATGAAGAGTAAATACTTACACAGGGCTTGCATTCAAGGAGCAATGGTCCACCATCATCTCTGGGAGGAAATCCAACTTGAACGCAGCCATCACCTCAGTCTATGACAAACTACTAACACTAAATCAGTGTATTGCCTAACCCCCAAACAACGCCACTTCCAAAAGTCCTGCAGGTCTTAACACTCAGCCACACAAAAAACACTCAAACCACAGAAACAGCAGCTCAGGGAGACCAGCAATAGACACCACAGAAACAGGCTGGACTGGGAAAGGGACATGGAATCCCAGATTAAAAAGGGGATGTGACCATGTGAAGGGAGGCTCAGCTTAATACACAATGAAAATGCTGATGCACTAGGCTTGTTTTGTGCAATTTTCCCTGGCGAAGCAGTACTGAGTGCACTGTCAGATAAACAGAGTGTCAGATCCATGAAGATAGCAATGGGTAACAGAGCAGAAAGAATACAAACTCCAGTCTTTCCATCCCCAGCTAACTCCTTGTCTCCCAAAATGGCAGACCAAGGCCTTGAGGTTCAGACATACACTTTCTATATCATCAATACTAACGTGTGAAGTCAAGAGGCTCCTTCACCACAACATTTGTAATAGCTGATTCCACTCTCTTTACCTTGTGCTCTATTATTGACACTCATTGCAAAGAATGCCAACTACAAATTTTCTCCAAATCGGCCAAAAAAATTAAAACTAAGACCTGATTATTCCTTAACAACCACAGAACTGATCAAAACTGATTCCTTTTATAGAAGCAGAACATACATTGTTCTGGAAACAGTACTTTGTCTATCATGCATCTATAAATCCAGATATACAGAGCCTATAAATGACAAAGAAAGGGGAAACCTCAGTGATTYACTGAAAACTGTTTTATAATCTTTGAGAACACTGATCAGAATACCTCAGCTGTTTCATCATTAAAATGAACATAACATGTTGATCAAGGAACTGTAAGATGTGTTTATATATGTAATACAGGCTTCCTGTTAAATCTCCAATACCCAAACTTATGGGGAGATAATCTGGATAAAAATGGATGCACTGCGAAGTGCAGAAACATTTGATTGTGGGAAGTGAGTGCTGTAGAGGCAGTTGGGTGTGTTGGAGCACTCCAGAAGGAATGATTAATTAACATGAGTCCAGAAACCTTTATACATGGTCATTATAACCACAAAACAACTTCTCAGAGAATCAAGGACTGCATGCTGGGGCAGCTGTGATCATGTCTTTCTCCTCTGTCAATGACTGCAATATGCATTTGCAATTATTCTGACTGGCCAGTATATAATTTTATTTAAGCTTGCACGGTTACAGTATGTCAATTGTTTTCATAAATAATGTTTCCAACCTCTGAAAAAATAATTTTAGAAAAGAGAATATTTCTTATCTTTTGCCAACAGTGAAGTTAATTAAAAGGGGCTAGGCCTTGTAGTACATGCATACCACTGCAAAGTAAGAGARGACATGAATTTCTCACACATCAGATATTCAACAGTAACTACTTTATGCATGCTCTTACTATGTGATAAATGCTAGAAAGCTTATTCTCTAAAGCAAAAGGTGTAAGCTATCTGCTAAGCAATGCTGTTAAGAACATGCAAATATCCATTAGGAAGCACAGGCCAATTTTTCAGCTTTCAGTAAATCAAATTGTTCTACCTTTAGATATGAATTACAGGCTTCCCACTTGAAAAATGCCCATGTTGAGTAAAACCCATCATATTCAAATGCTAAACTGAGCCAAATCCCACTTCATGCATTTCTCTACAATGTGACTGCAGAGAAAAACGGTCAGATTTATAAAACTAGAACAGCAGATCATAGGGTGTGATTAGATGACATGAATCTATACACTAACACTGGTAAATTCTGGCCCTATCCAGCAAGACCACACAGAACTCATTCCTTCTGGTCTTTCACTAATCTGTAGCTTTTTCCCGCAGCCAGTAAAATGCCTCAGCTGCCATACTCACTGCAGGTTCGATAAAAGACAATGTACTCTAGAAAATGAGTTTTGAAAATGTTACTGAGATTGATTAGTTTACTGAAGAAAATCACTACACCATTATGATTTGATCCTATGCCCACCCTTTTCCCCATCTCTCTGCTCCTCAAAATCAAAGTCCTATCTTTTTGTTCCATTAGGACAAAACTGCAACATTACAGACACAATTTGCTGGAAATGAAGAATCAATACCAGAATAGTGACCATCTGAAAATACGTCAGCCAAGACTCAGTGCCTTTGAGTGTCATACTTCTGAAATAATGGTGGCAACTTCAGTGACAAAACACTAGTGTACAGATTTGGTTTAGCATTATTTAGGTGAAGGCTTCAAGCCAGTGAAATTAAGACTTACAAATTTCACTTGTGAACAAATCATAAAGAGTGRAAAAAGATGGTATTTCACTACTGCACAGAAATGAGTAAAAAGTGTTCCCTTAAAATTAGAAAAAAAACCTAAAGCCATCCTAGTAATTTCTCACAAAGGAAGAAAAATAATGGAGCTAAACACACTTATTTTTTGCTCAGATGTCAAATTCCTGCTGGCTTCCAGATCCATTCTTTTACTGTTTCTATTCAAAGGATAACAGAAACAATGTCTGAAATTCCAAGCTCTATGGACTGTAACTACACATTTAAATGCAGTGCTCATCAGACAATACGAACATTAAAAAACTTCTACATACTACACATTRGATCTCAGTTTTACACTTCTGAAGCCCTAGATGATGTTGCAGAATGTGTCRTTATCTATGCTTCTCAGAGATTGCAGAGTACAAATGCTGAAAAGTTTTTTTTTTGTTTTTATTTCTAAGTTTACAGAATTATATCATATCCTAGGGCAAATAAAGACCCCAAAAATACACCACAAAAGGAGAAATCCTGTGTCATGTTTTCTTTCCCTAGAAAGCCCAGTTCTAATAATAATAATACTGTCTTTYATTTTATACATTCTGCACTCAGACAGCATATACAAACCTAAAGCTGA